CCCCCCCCCACGACTAGGTAAGTTGCATTTCAAGATCTCTTTTACTTGCCAGTTGTAAATGTTGGTAGCGAGAGAACCTGCATAACATGACAATGACTATATTCACAGATTTATATTAAAGGATAATTTCAACGATTTTAAAATGTTGATCATTATTGCGTTGGTGATGTCAAGCGGAACTTGACTTCAACTCAGTTTAAATAGCACAAAAACATGAATCGACGAGTTGATTATCTGTTCTGTTTTTAAAGGCTTCTTTCCCGTAATGCTTAAATTACAGTCCACCCGCGGAGATCATTTCTTTGCTTAAAAATTTCTTATATTACTATGAAATAACTGTATATTTTTATTAAGACTAAATCTGTGTTTTCAACATAAATTTCAGAAGCAATTTTGCTTTTTCCTTAGCTACATCGAAGGTTAATTGAGACCATTGAAAATTCCGCTTTCGCTTTATTTAAAGAAAAATGCTCAGATAAATCCTAGGGATTTGTAATTTCTATTAGCAAAGAAAATTCGGACGTTTAGCTAAACCCATGAGGTTATAGCAGCTTAGGATTTCACCAACTAAGTTACAATCATATCAGCTGAAAAGTAAACCGGTGAAATGCAAGTGATACGAGAACCTAACAAAGTGCTTCATTGAAATAAACACGTTACAAACCTGTCTCTTTTGAATGTATCCCGGATGCAGTGGAGCCGTATACCGAATATCGAAAAAGCGTGCTAAAAATCCAAGCCATTGTGGAAGCTGTTGAGCTCACCGCCACGTATGAAACCCACGCAACAATTTTAGAGGACTTACAAAGAAAAACAAAAGATTTGTACAGCATTTATACCTAGGTTATTTGTATAGTCTACTGATGTTATACCGCGACAAGCACCAGCGTTAACCACCAGTAGAATTATACGAAACAAGCGATTTGATTGGTTCGTTTTGCTTGCTGTTACCAGTCCACGTCGAAAACTTGACATGTTTATAAGCCTGTTATTTACAGTCGCTGAGGGCATGATATTTAGGAAGTTGCAAAGGTTTTTGACTGCTCCCTTTTTTCAAAACTACTCGTGTGCAATGACAAAAGCTTCTTTAGTGATTTGCCGGGTAAATAGTTGAAATAATCAATAACCTTTTGATATCATTCTCATGCAATATCGCACGTCACGAACTTGATCGTTTTCACAATACTGCAGCAGAGTTCGGTTCAAGCATGTTGACGAGCTAATTCGACCAATCGTAAAGGTTCACTTCTCTGTTACAGAGCAGGGATTTTTTTATAGAGGGCTGGGTTACAGTTGTGAAGTCCAGCGGGCATTTTTTGAAAAGGCTTTTACTGCTGTTCCTCTTCTCTTGTGTATCGTGAGCTCGGCAAATGGAGTATCTAAATTAGAAGCAGTTTATACCAGGCAGTCAAACGACAGAAATACGCGAGGGGGTCAGTTCCGGCCAACCGAACACCAATTTCCCGCATATAATTCAAAGGAAAACATAGAAACAACTGCTGTCTCGCAGAGTAAGAAAAAAAAAATTAAAACGTTCCTAGAAATCTGTAAAAGGAAACAAAAATGGGGACAAGGGAGACTCGAGACTTTTCGAACAAAAAGTTTATTCAAGTACGCGTATCCTGTTAATTTACCATTCTATTTTAAGCTGTAACAAAAAAGTTATACGCTTTTAAAACGCCGGGACTTACTGGGTTGTGTGGTTGTTTGTAACTCGTGTACCAAGTGAGACAAGTTTACTCTTAACAGCCTGAAAGCACGCCACCTAGTCATTACACAGTGATCACATGTGCAGACGTTTAACCGTTGTGTTTCCCTAGATACGCAGCTGAGGATTTTTTTTAAGTCGAATCCTGCGAAGCGTGAAATTATCTTCAGTCTGACCGAAAGAAGACGAGAGGACCATGACGGACATGTTTTTGTTTTATGCAACGAACGGGTAATAAAACTATCCTAGTTTAAAGTAATATTACTAGCGGTTTAGTACCGTCTAATTTCTTCGAGTTCGTGTTGAAATTCTGGTCAAGTTAATTCCAGAGAGAAATTACATTGTGAGGCAGCACGTATATTTTATATTATTAAAAACTGGATCATTGGATGATGCAATTCAAGAGTTTTCATTGGCTTAGCTATCATAGCCTATGAGCTATTATACCATGCGCGCGCATGAAGACGAGTTAAAGTGGAAGTGTTTTTGTACATTGTAACACTCAGTTTGTTCTAACACAATAAAGTTAGGAAGATTTATCTATATTTAGGGGCGTCTTAAATAAAACAATTATTCCATCGACGCTTGTGATTATGGCCAACAAGGCCTGCTATCTATCATCCCATATACCATGCGCGCTCGTGGAATAATTGTTTAATTTGTCGAAGGATATGGCTTCTGGTGTTCTCATATACGTTAAGTAGCCTACTCTTTGCTTAATTATAAGGCCGTAACTGATGCGTTTTCATAAGAATACTGCATTTGCATTTTATGGTTCTCGTCCATCGTCTTCACAAGAACACCCGAAAATGCAGATAAAAACAACAGTGCGTGACTTAATTTTCGACAATGTTTTCCAGCTCATAGCTCAGTTTAAAATTAATTGAATAATTATGAAATAAAGATTATGGTGTTGATAATAAAAGCGCGCGAAAAAGGTTGTCACCAGCCTCAGGAGAAGGCCAGCACTTAGTTCTCTCACGGTCATGCTTCGCTTTCTCGCTTTTCCCCTTTGACATGAAAAGGAGCTAAATTTTCGATTAGACAAGGGTCAGGACTTTGTTCCCGCAGGCTTTCCTGTTCACCAACAGCTTTCTGAAACATTTGCGGGCCCGCAACTATTCCACTGCCTAGGTCTTCGTCTTCACAACTGTCTTTCGCAGAATTTTTTGTCGATGGTTCTAGTTGTTCATATTGATATTTTCGACTGTTCTTCTTCGCAGTCAAATGGCATCGTCTTTGGCGTTTGTGCTTTTCTTTTAATTCCAGAACCAACTTGAAAACCTGGGATTTCAAGTCCGTAACCATTTGTGTTATCTCTGTGGACAGCAGGTTTACTTGTCTGTTGTCTGGAATGCAAAGGAAAGAACAAAATACGTTTTAAACCCGGAAGAGTATGACCGTAACCTAAGATATCTAAAACTCCTGCAAACCTTTCAGTTTGCCTAACATCTATGCACATAAAGTACTACCTCTGTGGTCCTCGCCAAAGTTAGATAGTGGGGTAACTGGTTAGAAAACGCTATATATTTCATTTTTGTGTTCTCGTTAAACTGTAGAATTGCCTCGACGTCTTTGATCTTTGTCTGTATTCTTACCAGTCACAGGGGCAGATCCAAGCAATTTTGATATGACGACGGGATTCCAAACTTTGAATCAGAAAACAAATTCGTTTTTCACTCTAGAGCTTAAATAAGCTCAGAAATATTTCACGAAGGGCAAATTTGAAACAATTAAAGTTGATTGGTAGCATTTGTTCCTACCATCACAAGACTTTTGAGGTCACTATATCAACAAAAACCTCCCAAGTCTGAAAAGGGCCAGGGGAATATATCATGGTAATTATTGGCTTTTGAAAGGTTCAAGTAGTTAATTACCTTGTGGTTGTATTTTCAATCTTTTTTTCACACGATATATAATTTCCCACACCACACCTAACAGAATACAGACGCCCAGAGCCCCTAAGAGTATCATTAGGTTTTGTGTGAATAACTGGCTGCTGCTGTCAAATACACCTGTAGAACGTTCAACCTCTAATGGTTCTGGAGACTCCTGCAAAAGAAGTACACTCGAGGTGTTTGAGTCTAGAAGGTGAACGTGGATGTAAAGCAGTCTTTCTGAAAAATGGAATGATCTGCATGATTGGCCTAAACAGAGAGTTCTATCACAAATGCTGCAATCTGATTGGCTACGCTACTCGCTTCGTATCTATTCCGTATTTTTTTATTAGGGACCTTAAGCAAACCACGACGGTGACAGCAACGAAGACATGGAAAAACAAAAGATCTAATTGGTAGAACAATAGCTCAGCACGTGCCTTTTAAAACTTTGTACATTTCTTAGCCGTCCTATGCAAAACAACAACGTGAAATCACCACAATTTGCGTCGTCTGCGAACCGAAACCGCGACGGCAAATTCCTTTTATTTCCATTTGGAACTCAACGCTTCTTGTAAACGTTATGTTGAAGTTGAGCTGTGGCGCCGCATGAGACGGTAAACACATACAGCCATTTTTGAGATTCTAATCAAAGGCAGAAATTCATTTTTTAATCGAAGTCTTCCTTGGCGTTGCCGTCTTGACTGCTTAAGGTCCCTTGTAATAGATCACAGATGACATCAAAAGGTGGGAAGAACACCAGTGACACAATCAGCTGCGCCTCGTGTGCCACTTTTTATTGTTACCACATTCTGACGTCATCTTTGATATATTTGCTGAACAACCGCTCAGCAACATAGAGTCTATTTGTTAACTAAATAGTGAGCCAAGTGAGAAGCTTAACATTGTGCAGTGTTAAAGGAAAGAAAATCATCAGCGTGTGTTTTTGTCAAGTTTTGAACGACTAGTGAGAACATCTGATCTCGGTTTCTATGCGTTGATTTGGCCTCACCTCCTTCAACTATCACACGATAGAAATCTCGAGCTCGTAATGTATTTGGTAATTAGTGGTTATGTGGGTATCAATATTTGTGAGATTGTAAGCTTTTGAATGAAGAGTCGTGAAAACAGAATAAAAGTGATCACAGCAGGCAATCAGAGAAAAGAAAAATACTGAGAAAAGGCTGATAGTAACTGCGCGTGATAACCGGCGACCTGCCCTAAAGCGCGGGAAAACGCGGGTGACCAACTCGCATTTCTTTGGTTGAAAAGATGGTGTGACCTTTCTAGACAAATTACCAAGGGAATTAAGAAAAACCAAAGTAATTGTGGAATACTTTGAACTTTAAACTGAAAATTACTTAAACAGTTTAGTGAATAGCTGATCAATTCCGACAAAAAAACACGATCAAATAGAAGACAACGGGGTGATAAAGAGAGGTTCTTTCCTTTCTCCCCTCTTATTCCAGGGAAGGTTAATATCCCGATGATCACTCTAACAGCCTGAAAGCACGTCACTTAACCGTGACAACGTTTGCACGTGCAAGACTTTTGAACGCTGTGTTACAAGCAGGCTCACATTGGCGTTGCAGCACTAGCAACAAAGCTCGCCAGATGGGAGCCAGCGAGCGAAGCGTGCATGCGTGCGAGAGGTCTGCAGAAGATCTGGCGCGACGGGCACAATGTTTAGAGGTTAATTTCCGTGGCAAAACTCACGCAGAGCTCAAATGTGGTGAGAAGATAAGAACACGAGCTGATTATGCTCTCCTACCTGAGAGATTTGTCTAGGTAACATCATGATCTCGGGTGCAATTCGGTGAAAAGAGCACGAGCCGTTAGTACGAGTGCAATTTGTAGTCTTTGAAAAATTTACAAGTGCCTATTTGCACCAAGTTGCAGGAGAAATCATCTTTTTACATGTTAATAATTTACATGACAACGCATCACAGAAAGTCAAGACGGACGAAATTTTGGCAGCGCGCGCTATTTGTTATTTGCACTCATGTTACAACTTTGCACCCGTGTTATATAAAAAATGTACTCGTTTTCGGCCTATGAGACCTGCGTAATTTTTCATGTATATTATTAATATTAAAATACCTGAATAGCCTCTACATTTTCTGCTACATGTTGAAAAATCAAGGCAATGTTCTGTTGTATGTAGTCACGGAAACATTTGCCAAGTTTTGTCGAGTTGCCCCCGGTCACTACACCATATACAGAAGAGTAATCGTAAACTCTGTAAATTCTTAGGAATGGTTTCTCGAAGAGATTTTTTCTGCTCCCGACAACGTAGCCATCGATGAGAACACCACTGATTTGATTCGAAGACAGAAGCTCGTAGATCTCCTCAAAATTTCTGTGTTTCTTTTCTAAAAAATAATATCAGAATATCGAGCACGTAAACTGAGATTTATTTTCATCACATATTGAAAATTTCACGCCAGTACAAATTGGCCTCATAAGTTACAAATAACCATTTTTTAAATAGTTTGAGACAATTTTTTTACGGCTGAAACAAAAATGGACAGAAAGGTTTAGGGAGGGTACTTGGGTCAATTTGTGTTGGGTATGTGCCGCTGGCCTCTCAGATTCCCTACCCCACGTCAGTAATCCAATCGTAAAAAGCGACCCCAGGCAGTGGAACTTCCCCGTAACCCTATCACTTGGAGGTAACGCCCTTCCCCCTGGAATATGTCAAACTTTGAAAGCTTAGTTTTTTATCGTGCTGGTGTAATGTTCATGTAAAGTTTGATACTCTTAATTAATAGGTAACAAAATAAAGAAGTTATAACTGATATAGGTCACGTACCTTTGTCAAATCTAGCGTTCCTTCTCAATCCCAAATTGTATTCTGCAGAACCGTAGATAGCAGAGATCTAAAGCAAACAAACAGCATAATGATGATACCGAAACTTGTGGAAGGAGGGGTTGGGCGGTGGGTCGGACGATTTTTTGGGGGATCACATGGTTTTCTGGGAGAACAGATGGGGTCGCTGACAGAGTATGAAGGAGGGGGGAGGGGGGGGGG